GATCAATGAGTACAAGTTACAGTTAGACAGGAAGAGTAATCCTGGTGTGCTATTGCACAGTAGGGTGACTATAGAGAACAATAATGAACTGTACACTTAAAGACGCTAGAAAAAAAGGATTTTGAAAGTTTTCCCCACTTATGGGGAATGATGGATATGTTTAACGTGCTTTAAGCATTACATCATGTAAACATGTATCAAAACATCATATGGTAACATCACTATATATACAATTTTTATGTTTTTATGTACCAGTTAAAAAATAATACTGGGGGTGTAGCTCAGTGGTAGAGCACTTGCGTAGCATATATGAGGCCCTGAGTTTGATCCCCAGCACTGCAAAAATAAATAAATAAATAAGATTTTTTAAAAATGCACTCTAACACATATTTTTGTTCATTTATTTATTTATTGGTGGTGCATGCAAGTCAGGCACTCTACCAACTGAGCTATATCCCCACCCTTAACATACACTTTTGCACAACAAACTTCTTTTGGTAATATTGCTATTCTCATTTCATGGATGTAACTAAAGTTTAACAATCTGCCACATTACATGATGGTAAGCATGGAGCATGGGGCTTTCCAGTGGTCTGGTGAAGAGCTATTTTTTTTGCCGTATGTATTCTGTGTCTTCAGGCTGAAGGAGGGGGAGTAGGCCAAGAAGAGAAAGAAGAAAATGGTAAGCAAAGGGACCCCAGCATGGTGGGAGGCTACAGAGTGCAGAAAACAGTTTATCAGAAAACGCATAAGGTAGCAGCAGAGTAGGGAGGTTGGGGAACCAGGTGCACCCTCCGGTGACCTCCTTACCAGGGTCATCTGCAACTGCACTGACACACTCTGCAAAGGGGCTGGAGTTGGGACTAAGAGGTGGAGAAGGGTTGCAGAAGCTATTCCCTGGGAGGCAGAGTCTAGCAGGGCCAACCCACCTCCCCCTACCCACATTCTCCCAAGTTTCATAATTTTTTTCCTTTCTTTCTTTTTTTTCTTCAGTTATGGTTCTCTAAATTGCCCCCATTGATCTCCAATTTGACATCTTCCCACTCAACCTTCCAAGAAGCTGGATTTATAACCATGTGCCACTGTGTCTGGCCTCCATGACCACTTTCTGCAACTCTCAAAGTATAGTGCCTGGGCTTCCCCCACCCCATGGAAGGTTAGTACTGTCACATCTCAGAGCCCAGCCTGGGCTCAACCAGCTGACACCTGCAGCCTCTGGAGAAACTGTCAGCCTCAGAGTGGAGTAAATAAAACCTGTCCCACCCCAACCCCATTCCCTTCAAAGGAGGAACTCCATTTTGGGGTGGGCCTGAACAGAGAAACCTAAGCCCTTTGCTCTTCTTCTTTGTAGAAGGATAGCAGAACCCTAACACTGATGGAGGATGTAGGGCAGGGCAATTTCTGGGCCTGCCAAGACTCCTGCCCTGTCCCATGGAGCTGAGACCAGTTTAGGGGCAGGATAGACACTGGCAAATGTCTGATTGCACAAAGTACTGCTTCCTGCCAGACACGCTTGGCTTGCCAAGTTCTTGTACCTCTGTTTACTGCCAGAACTTGTGAATAGTAGACAATGGAGGAGGCTGTCCAGGCCATGAAAAGACTGGGGATAGCTGGGAATGGTGGCACATGCTGCTTAGGAGGCAGGAGAATTCCAAGTTTCAGGCCATTCTGGACAACTTAGGATAAAACAAAATGATGAAGCTCAGGGGTAGACCGTTTGCCTTGCATGGTCCAGGTTCTGGGCTCCATCCTCAGTACCAAAAAAACAACAACAACAACAAAAATTACACGATGAGCTTGAGTGTTGTGGCACATACCTTTAATTCCAACCAGTTGGGGGGCTGAGACAGGAGGATCTCAAGTTTGAGGCCAGCCTCAGCAACTTAGTGAGGCCTGTCAGTCTTTACCACTGTAGTACTTTGTGCAATTAGACCTGTGGCCTGAGCAACTTAGTGAGACCTGAACTCAAAATAAAAAATAAAAAGGGCTGAGGATGTTGTTCAGTGGTTAAGCACACCTGAGTTCAATCCCTGGTACCAAAATAAATAAATAAAGGAATAAGTGATGAGAAAGTGGTAACTTTCATCTTGTCCACTCTATCCCTCAGGAGGAAGCCAGTTGCTATGTCATGAGAGGCTGTGTGGGAAGACTTTGAGGCCTCTGGCCCTCAGCCACCTGAGTGAACCTTTTTGTAGGCAGATATGCTAACCCCATCAAGTCTTCAGATGACCACTGGCTTGTCCACATCTTGGCAGTAATCTCATGAGAGACCCATTACTGAAATTACTCAACTAAGCCACTCCTGATTCCTGACTGTGTGAGATAATGTTTATTATTTTGAATTATTAAGTTTTGGGGTAATTTGACAATAGATAATTAATACACTCCCTTTCTACTTAACGACCTGAGATGATTCCCCACCCACTCTCCGACTGAAGCCCTTGAGCTCCTTAACTCCTAATGTCTCTTCCTGTCCAGGCCTCCCTTCCAGAACACTGGTTTACAGAAATCCTGGTCTGTGTGGTGTAGCGCAGTGGTAGACCATGTGTCTAGCATACATGAGGCCCTGGGTTCAATCCTCAACACTCCAGTTTAAAAAGAAAGGAAATGCCAAATGAATTAACCCTTCTCTCTGGAGGCCTTAGGAGGCCCCCCCAAAGAGCTGGAGATTATCCTCCTGGCTGGAGAGTGGGGTTTTGTAGGGAGAAGGTGGAAGAGTCAGGGATGTCACTCTCTAGGAGAGGCCTCAGGAGAAACACTGTATGCACAAGCCCCTCTTCCTTCCATCCTTTATTTTCTCTTTCTGGGAGGTGGAGCAACAAGGTGGTCCAGCACTCTACTTCTGTCCCTTCATGAAAGAGCATGGGGGAAGTCCCTGCATAAGCCCCAGTGAGTCTTTGATGATTCCTCTCATAAGCCCAAAGGGCATAGAATGTTATATAGTAGAAAGGAAAAAAGCCACCCACAGAACTTTCCAGGAAACCATTGCCCTGTGAAAGCATGGGGCTTCCACTAAGGCTGTAGAGAATAGGGTCCTGTGGCAGAGCTGTGGAATGTCCTCAGCAGCTCCCCCCGCCCCACAGCAGGTGGTGGGAATGATGCTCTGGAGACTTTCAAAGAAGCCCTTAGGACTTTGTTTTAGTGTGATCATCCCTGGCAAGTGCTACAACTTCCTCCTCTCTGTGCAGCTATTTCTCTACCTGAGGCAAAACAAGAATCACCACCACCATCTTGAGGCTCAAAACATCAGACTACCTCAAATGATTCATTATTCAGGCTTCTGAGGATGGACCCCTTTCCCTAAGGCTTCACACAGAACGATGGTGTCACTCTCTCCATTCTCCATCCCCAAGTCTATCGTTATTGTATCTCCTATCTCCACAGAGACAGTCTTCAACCTCACTATTTGTCCCTTCATGTCACTTTGCACATGGCATACAGGTTCAGTGCAACAACCAAAAAGGCAGTTTGTCAACAGCAGTGCATCTGCCACCCTGTACCCCCCACTCCTGCAGGCTCCCTATGATTTGCTTTCAATATTTTGTTCTCCTGTAGAGGGCTAAAGTTCCCTGACAGACACAGAGCTGTCTGCAACCAAAATTTAGGGCCTCTACCCATTACAAGTGGTGAGACGAGTATGCCATGGGCTGAGGCCCAGTGTGCTATGTTAAAAAAGGCCAACTATATGGTCCAGAGGCTCTCTCCAAGAAAGACAGAGAGGAGCACAAATGGGCATGGGGGTCTTCAATATCATTATTGGCATAACCAGAACAGGCCCACTTTTTCCTTCATTCAATAATAGAAATTCAGACAAGTACATTGCATATGAAGAGCACTTCACAGTTTTCAAAGTTCTTTTATTATTCCATATTCACAACCCATTTTGGTGGGTTGTTATCATTCTCTCTTTTATTTTTCTTTTTGAGATAAGTCTCACTATGTTGTCCAAGCTGGCCCCAAACTCCTGGACTTAAGCAATCCGCCTGTCTTAGCCTCCTCAGTAGCTGGGGCTACAGACACATGACAGCACCCAGCCAAACTGAGGCTCTAGGAGATTGGTGACAGTCACATCAGCAGAACCAGAATGAGAAGCCAGGGCTCCTTACTCTCACAGCTCCAGCAACAGCCAGTTGCCTGGATGCTGTTTTTCCTCCCCTTTGTCAAACTTGCAAGATAACTCTGCAAGGGTCAGGGCTGTATCTCCTGAAGCAAGCAGTTCGGTTCCTCTCCTGCAAGGTGTGTAGGACATGTGAGAGCTGTTGGGTGCACAGAGAATGTGCATACCACAAAGCAGTGCCTGCACACCCTGTTGATCTGTGCCCTGCTTTATTCACTGCAGTGTGAAATCTCATAGTCGGCCCAGTGACCTCCTGTGGGGTGTAACAAGCAGTGACCACTGGGTGGCAGTGTGTTCTCATGCCTGGTTCTAGAAAAGTGGCGAGTGCTAAGGAATGTGGGGGTGGGGCAGAGGTAGGAACCTCAGCCAACTGCCTAGAAAGGTTGTGAGACCCGTTCTCCTCCTGGAGGGCTTGACACGACAGGGTTCCTGTGTGTGCGCGCGCGCGCGCGTGCGTGCGTGAGTGTGCGAGTGTGTGTGTGCGCGCACATACATGCCTGTGGCCGCGCGCTCCTCTGCTGCAGCCAGGGGGCCTAGAGCAAGTGCTGAAATGCAGCTGAGTATGGGGTGGGCCAGAGGCACAAAAATCTAAAGGAAACCAGGGCAGCCAGCACAATGTGGGCGGAAGGACGGAGGAGGGGGCTATAGAGGTAAGAGAGGGCTTTTTGGAGCTTTAGAAAGATGATTACCCAGGAGAGAGAACAAGAGAGAGACCAAGAAAGAAACACAGCGGTCAGAAACAGAAAAGGGGAAGATGAGGGAGATTGGCTGGAGAAAATAGGTTAGGAGGCTGGCTGGGGTGGGAGAAGGGAGCCTCTAGAGGCCTCTAAAGGCTGGGGAGAGATTGGAACCTTCACTGGACAAGAAAGAGCCAGACTCAGACTTGCTGCTGACAGGGGATTTATTTGGACTGAGCTGCTGAGATCTGCTGGTTGCCTCAGCCCCAGGTCAGAGGTGTCTTGGCTCCAGCTCTGACTCCAGCTCCAGTTCAGGCTCTGGCTCCTGCTCTGGCTCCGGCTCCGGCTCCGGCTGTGTCTCTGGCTCCAGCTCCATTTCTGGTTCTTGCTCAGGTTCCTCTATTTTGCTTTGAGACTGAGGAGGGTGAATCCCATGCTCTAAGGCAGAAAATCTTCTGGGTCTCCACTGAGAGAAGAGATGGAGAATGATAAAGGGAAAAGGAATAGAAAGGACACTGAGTCCTTCTATTTTTTCCCCAGTCTTCTGCCTTCTCCATCTGGTTCAGGGCCTTCTCTCAGCCCCTTCAAGCTTCCCAGGTGGAAACTTATGAAGGAAGATGGAGGGCTGATGACAAATTCAGGATCCATTTTGATCCTCTTCCCTGAGATAGGTGCCAGATAGCATTCTGAGGAAATTGAGAGAGGAAGCCAGTGGGTGAGTATCCCTGGCTCACCTGTCTTCTCCAACGGTGAAAGCCAAGGGCTCCAGTCACCAAAAGGAGCAATGAGAGGGCACCAAGGATGAGGAGAGAGAGATGGCCTGCCTTGAGGGTAACTGGGGCTCTCCCAGAGCGTTGGGCACCTTTAGACAAAACACAGAATTAGGCATAGGGTCAGGGATAACATGGACATTGTGCCACTCTCTCATACTTTACAGATGCAGTAAGGTTCAGAGAGTTTCAGGGACTTGTCCAGGATGGTTCCACTAATTAGTAGGAGCAATGGGTGAGGCCTAGACTTGAGGTCAGGTCCCTGAATGGAACAACAACTCAACTGGATTGAAGAGATTGAAAGAAAAGAGCTGGGGATGGGGAGTGGCAGGAGGTGTTCTGGAAGGGTGATCAAGATGATTGCTTTGGAGTTGGGACCATGGCATTTTGGGGCCTCAGACCTGTTGAAGACAGCTCTGGGATGTACACCACTGCTCCGAGAAGCCTCTCTCCTTGGTAAAGTTGGCATTGCCAGGATTGGGAAAGGAGCCTGGCCTCTTGCATCTCCAACCAGGGTCCTGGGGAACTCCTGGACCTCCTGTCCAGAGGGTTCCATACAAAGCGCTCATGTCCTGATGCTGGAGTCACCTCACATAGCAGTTTCCCCAGGGAGCCAGGCAACCCAAAGAGTTTAGGAGTCACTGGAAAAAAAAAAATTAGAGAGAGGAGATCTCTTGGGGTCCTGACCTGGTTATAATACCACAGATTCTCAGTCACCCTGCTTTCACCAGGACTCTGGTAGGGCAAGGCTGGAAAGAAGGTTAAGGGTCATAGTCAAATTAATCTTGACAATGGTTGGTCAGATTTCCCCTGGCTCAGTAACATTCCAGATTCCCTATTGCCTTTACAACATTGTTCAAACTCAAACTGGCACTAAAGGCCACATAAGCAATATTATTTCAGATTCTTTTACATTACTTTCTCCTGAAATGCTCCCACCATCAATATCAATCAGGTAACTTGGCTCCCAATATGCCTTGCAATAGTCCCCCTTCTGTGATTTGACTCACATCAGTGCCCACTGCCTTTGTGGTACCTCTGAATGAACTTATCCCCCTTTCTGAAAGTTTAGAAGACAATGAACTGACCCAGTGGTTGAGAGGCAGAGCATTCTCAAAGCTGTAGGATATTTGGAGCAGACAAATGGTGAAGGGCCTTGACCTGTCTGAGTATGGCATATGGGGGAGGTAAGATTTGATGACACAGACACCTGAGTTTAGACAATGAGTCTGGCATGTCCCAGCTGTGTGACTTTGAGAACATTCCTTCTCCATAAAATGGGGGTGGGCTGGGTTTACAGCTCAGCTGGTAGAGAGCCTGCCTCACAAGCTCAAGGCCCTGGGTTCAATCCCCAGCACCACAAAAACAAAACAAAACATAAAATGGAGGTAACAATCTCTCCAATAGAGTTGTTGCACGTAAAATGGTTGGCCTAAAAGAAGACACTGGACAGAAGGAATAGGTGGGCTTTGGTGACTGACTGGACATGGGGAAGGAGGACTCCAGGGTTAGGATGAGTGGAATTCCAATGGAGTTAATGACAGGCTAAGTGAGAAAGTGAATTGGCATAAGACAATAATGGGGTTCAGGATGAGGCTGAGGAATGTAGATATTCTAAAAGCAGGTAGATATTTGGAATTGACTCTGAGGAGGCATATTATTTATTAGTGTATTCATTTATTTTTGCAATCAATATGCATTATTAAGCACCTACTATGTGGTGCTACTATTACTAAACAGTAACAGGTGACAGGTAACTACTGCAGATGTTGCTAAAATGTCATGGCTGATAGCTACCAATCAATTAACATATTTTTTGAATGCTTTTTTTCTATGTTTGTTTTATACTGTCTTAAAAAAACCCTTGCTCAGTAAATATTTGCTGACCAAGGGGCTGATTTATTAACTCCTTCCAAATCCAGGCAACTTCCTGAAACTTTATCCAGAGCCCCAGCCCCAAAGCAAAAAGCATTCTAGAAATATATTCTACCTACTTTGAATCATTCAAGCTTTTGTCACCTCTCGGAACTTCTCAGACCCTCCCACCAGTTCAGAGCAGGGGAGTCCCTTAGAGAACAATGGAACATTTATTTTGTGACTCAATGGGGAGATTTTCAGTTTCCGTTCTTTATGAAGGGGATGAATAAAGAAGCCACAACTTGTGATCCTGGCATCATGGAGTGGATTTGCAGTATTAGACCAGCCTTTCTCCCAGTCGCTGCTCCCCTGGGATGAGAACTACTCCTTTCCCACCTGGGGCTAACCTGTGATGACTGCCAAAGTGATGGTAGCACGGAGCTGCTGCCCCTGTAGATGGATGTGGCAGGTGTAGGTCCCAGCCTGGGCCAGGCTCACAGCCTCTAGATGAAGAGTGAAGTTGCCATTGTCTCCAGCCACCAGGAGGTCAGGGCCTTCCCCAGGAGGGGACCACTTGGCAATGAGGGAAGACTGGGTTCCCACACCAGGAGGCAGATGGCAAGGAAGCTCAGCCCTTGAACCTGCTCCAGCATACACTGTCAAGGGCACTGGGGGCTCAAGGCCTGGAGAGAGAAGGAAACCCAAAGTTAAGCCAAGGGAATGTACCAGTGTAGTGGGATGGGAATGCTGCAGTTGTAGGGAAGGGAGGCAGAGGAGTGACATTGGGGCTGGGAATGCAGATCAGTGGTAAAGCACATGCTAGGCCCTAAGTTCAATTTCAAGTACCACAAACAAAAAAAGGCGAGGGGGGCGGGCAGGGAGATTGGGCTAAAAAGAGGGCTAAGGAAAAAATAAGGTGGATGAATTTAGGATGCTCAGAAATCCAGAAAGTGATTCTAACATGGTGGTACATGCCATTAAGCCCAGTAATTCCGGAAGCTAAGGCAAGAGGATTACAAGTTCAAGGCCAAGTTTGAGGCCAGCATAGGCCACTTAGCTTGACTCTGACCCAAAATTAAAAATAAATTAATTAATTAAAAAGGAGGGTAGGTGGCTGGGGATATAGCTCAAGGGTAAAGTGATGCTGAGTTCTATCCCCAGTAACATATGGGGAGTGAGATCCAGAAAAAGTAATTTGGGCAAGCAGGAAACCAAAGGTTAGCAAATGAGGCTGATGGCCAAAAGAAAAGCTAGAAGGGGAGATGGCAGTTAAAAGGCTGCCACATGGGGCTGGGGATGCAACTCAGTGGCATGCAGGAGACTAGGGTTCCATCCCCAGTGCTGCAATAAATACATTTTTAAAAGGTTGCCAGAGAAGAAAGGGGTCAGGTTGTAGGCCCAGAGCAATCAGAAGTGACACCAACTGCTAAGAAACTAGTTTTGGGACCCGTGAGTCAAGGGGGTGGGGGTGGGGTGGAATGTGGGTGGGGTAGGAAGGGGTAGTGGTCAAGGGTAAAGGCCGATTAGAGTAGTTACCCAGAACTGTGAGGTTGTACATGATGGAGACATTAAAGCCATCACTGTAGGTAATGATACATCCCCAGGTCCCAGAGTCCAAGGGGCTGACTTGGGGCAGAAAGAGGAAGCTTTCAGCTAAATGGTGATGGGGGGACTTCTGGACAGGGACTTGGCTTTGGCCTCGGAACCAGCGCACAGAAGCTGGGCGGTCAGGACGACTGAAAGAGCAGTTCAAAATGACCCAATCTGAGGTCCTGAGAGATCCTGTGGGGCTAGCAGTCACTGCAAGGAGAAAGAAGATTTGATCAGCCCCACCCGAAACCTTTTCCAACCTAAGGGCCTAACCAAGCCAGAAGCTCCCAGAAACGGATCTTGTTTTAGATTTGCCTTCTCCCCTCCCCACCAACCTCTACTCCCCTCCAGCTCAGTAGCTAGCACCTGGAGGAGTTTTAATGTGAATCACTAAGAATCCTTGATTTCTTTCCATTGTCCCCTGCCCCCAGTTTACTAGGCATCGCTTTCCCTTCTCTTTCTCGGTATCTTGCCTGAGGATGCCCATGAAGCCCCCCCATTCCAAACAAATCTGAAATGAATCACTGTGGCCCCATGCTCTACCCTCTCTCTGCAGAATAGGTGCCTCCCCACTTCCGCCAGGGCAGTCCTACTGTGGGTGGGCAAAGAGAGGGGGGCTCCAGGGGTGACACAATCTCTCCAAAGGGCCCTCCCCGCATTACACGTGCTTATCCAGGGGCACCTTTCACTCATCAATCAAGTTCCCGCTGCTTCCTGTACCCTGCTGGAGGCCCTCAGGCAGGGCCTAGGGCACAGCCTCTACCGCAGCCCTTCCTGCCTCGGGAGCAGCAGCGGGGAATGGGGGACCACCTCCCCCACCGCTCTCCCTCCCTCGTCCCGCCCCACCTACTAGAGGCCTGGCCCACACGTAGACGGAGCCGGCAGGCCAGGGTGCGGTCCTTGAGGCGCACTGCAGCGTGGTACTCGCCAGCGTCGGAAAGCAGAACAGGACGCAGCCACAGTGAGAAGTCCCCGCGCTGGAGGCCGCGTTCCTCCAGCTGGAAGCGGGGCTGCAGGGGCAGCCTCCCGCTGCGCAGGCCTCCTGGAGCCACACTCAGCAACGTGTAGCGTTGGGGCGCCACGGGGGCGAAGCTTTTAGACAAGGGACGGCTTAGGGTGGGAGCAGGCGGGTCACTGGGCAAGAGAAATAATGAAATTGAGAAATTAAGGGTTAAGAAGCCCCGGAGAAGATACAGTCCAACAACACTTTGAGGTAGAGGAAGCCCGCCCCCAAGAGATCTCTTGACTTCCAAAGCACTCCCCAACACACTCACACACCAACCCCATCCCCTTTCCTGTTGGGCCAGCACCATCCACTAATGGAGAAGTTACATACTATGGAATGCAGATGTAGGAGAGCAGCCTGCAGAGGAAGGGTAGAAGGGGTGCATGAGGAAAGGGGAGGCTGTCACTGGCTTCAGAAGGAGTGACATCTCAGAGGAAGGAACCAGACTGGTTTGGATGTTGAGCTATGTCTGGATACCATTAGTGCTAGATTGGGAGGTTCTGTTGCCCAAGTTTGGAGTACATACCTGTCTGGTTGATGCTGCCAGGTGACAACTCCTCTCCGGAGAAGACCAGGATTTTGGAAGGGGATTGTAAGTCTGCAAGGAAGGTGAGCAGGAGTCCCCTCCTGAGCCCACACCACCAGGACCTCTTGCCCAGGGTCTGGAGCCTCCGCTGGAGAAGCAAAAGAGAGGCCAATGGGAGAGGCCATGAGCCGAGAGACTTAAGAATACAGAAGGACCTCAGTGTTTCCCAAATGAGAAACAGGATAGAGGAAGGGCTTGGGTTTCTTTCTGCCTCTTCTCTGCCAAGGGAGAGACTGAAGAGAAGCTCTGGGAGTGGAAAGACTTGCTCAAGAAAGGCATTAGGAGACTCTACCACAAAGCTAAGGACCTCAGGACCTTTCAAGCCACGGAGAGCTCCCTGCTGGACCCCTCTTGTTGGTCGGGAGGTCAAACTTCCCCCCATCCCCACCTTACCTGGAGCCACCCACAGCAGTTGCAGAAGCAGCAAACCCAGGAACTGAGCCTCCCACATCTCCCCTATGGCCTGGGCTGAGCTGAACCCTCCAAAAAAAGGAGGTCAGAAAAGGGAGTGGGGGTCTGAGGAATAGAAGAGAAATTCCTCAAGAAGAAAGGTAGAGGGAGGAAATCTAGAGGAAAGGAGACAACCAAGAGGGAGGCCTGGAAAGAAGGAGGACCAATAGGCTGAATTTCAAGGAGAAAGATGGCCAGATAAGGCAGGGGTGGTACACCCCAGGGACTAGGCTGTGAGTAGCAGAGGGCAGAGCAGAGGCAAGGTGGCTGTCTTGAGCTGGGATGTTGTTCTACTGCTCCCAGGGCCCTGGCCCCTGTCCTTCTGCTTTCCCTCCACCCTCCCCATTGCCCGCCCCCCACACCCCGGGGCTTATGGTTTCGCTTTGCAGTGGAAAGTCTGAGGGGGTTGATTCCCAGCAGCATCACCCTCCACCTCTGAGGTAGCACTCCCCTTGTTTACTTCCTCAGTCCTGGGTCTCCCCACCACCGACTTCTCACCCTTCCCCACCCTGCAGACTCTTCCCTCTCCTTGGTACTTCACACTCTTCTCTCCAAATATTTGAGAACTACCCACTTGTCCATCTCTAAACTACCTCCTCAGTCCCAGCATTCACACTTTCGTCTTCCTTCTCTGCTCATCTCCTCCTTCCTTTAACCTCCCAGAATTTCATTTACCCCTGTAGACCTGTTCCCCAGCTGTCTATACAGTGTCTTCTGGCAACAAGATAGAAATGAAACTTCACTGCACCCTACATGACAGTAGAAGTGGGGAAGGAAATGTCAGTGTGTGAATAGCTACATTCTTTCAAGCCTTCATTCTGTGCCTGTCACTATATTGGACACTTTATATATAGTCACTCATGAAATGTTTCTCCTCCATTACACAGATGTGGAAACTGATTCTCAAAAAAAGATTTAATAATTTCTCAGTGACTCAGGAGGACAAGTTCAAAGCCAGCTATGGCAACTTATGGAGGCCTTAAACAACTTTATGTTTAGGGCTGTGGATTTGGCTAAGTGGTTAAGTACCCTTGGGTTCAATCCCCAGTACCCCACCCCCCCAAAAAATTAATAATTTGCCAAAAATTAATAATTTGTATGAAGGCAAAAGCTGTGTTTGTGTGTGGTCCTGACCCTGGGTGAGTTGTGGGTATTTCCTTATCTCCGGTGTTGACAATTAATCAATCCCTCTTCCCTGTCCAAAGTTTCCAATCCACAGGTTCTGTACTAAGGGCAAGGGTGATGTAGACTTTGAAAAATGCTAAATCTTATACCAGATCAAATTTAAGGTTAGGGAAAAAATACTGAGACAGACAACTCTTGTTCTGAGTCCAAGGAGCCCAGCTGGAAGAGTTGGAGGGCCAGTGACAAGGAGACAGGCCTGGGAACAAGTTCTGGAGCTCTCCCCTGCTTGTTGGAAAGGAGCTTGCTTCCTGTGTCAGGCAGAGGGCATCTTCAATGCCAGGAAGTTTTCCCTCCAGATCCTAGGAAGTAGAGACCTAAGTCTACTAGCCTCTCCCACTTCAAGGGCGGGACTTCCTGTTTCTGGGGCTGTTTCTATTTGCCTGGTTCAGCACAATAGAGCTGGTAGCTTTCCACTGGGCTCAGCAGTGTCTAGATCTTGTGTGGGTTAGCAGGGAAGTGTGTGCATTGCTGGGGAGGAGCATCCCCAAGAAGCCAAACAAGATATAAGTCAGCTCTCAAAAGAGCTAGGCTTCCACTGCATCCCTGGAAGGCTGACTTATCTTTTGGAATTGTTGAGTGTGAGGTCAGCCAGTCACCCTCTTCCTTTTCTACCCTTTCAGTGTACTCTCTGGACCCCGGGAAAGCAGAAGACAGGTTAAAAACAGAAGCGCGACCATTTCTTTATTAAATTATACAAAAAGGGGAGGGGAGGGGGGCAGCTGTGGGGCTCGGCCCCAACCCCGGCCCCACCCCGGCCTGGCGCTGTCTGACAGGAGGGGATCTGAGGGAGACCCAGGGATCAGGCAGGAGAGGGATAGGGCAGGACATGAGGCTGGGGGATGCAAAGAGTAGGTAGGAGAGGCTACCCAAGGACGAGGACAAGTGCCATGGTGGGTGAGGAAAGGGAGGAAGAGAGCAAGGAGGGGAGAAGGGCCACTGGGGACCAGCTGGGGAGCTCAATGGAGCAGGTCAGGAGGTGGAACAATGGCAGAGTGAGGATGGAGGGACAGTGTGTCTGGAGAGGCGGAAATGAGAAGGCTGGGGAGAAAGGGTGGCAGTTCTGGTGCAGGATCCAGAGCAGGGAGCCAGGTGAAGGGTGGCTGTACTTGTCTGTTTCCACCCACACCTCCAGGCCCTGAGGGGCCTACTACCCCCAGCCCATTGGCAGGGGGCTCATGCCGATGCCCCATTTTCTGTCTTCTGCCGCTTGGGATCCGCTTCATCCTGTGGAGAGGAAAAGAGTTGGGATAGTTGTAAAATGGGAGAGGGGACCTCCCCCTGTCCCGGCTGGCCATGCTCCAGCCCCCGCCCATGCCACCACTAGGATCTGGGTCCAAGTCCAAAGGGCACCCAGCCCCTGCTGCATCCCTGACAGCCCCTCAGGCCCGGCAACCAGCCCAAACCTCCTCTTCGGCAGCTCTCTTCAGCGCGGGCCCTTCGTCATCCTCTTCTTCTTCTTCCTCATCTGAGGAGCCAGAAATGGGTCATTGGGGAAGAGCAGGAAGCTCTGGCAAAGACCCCCTGTGGTTGCCCTCAGCCCTGTTTCAGGTCTTCAAACCCACCCTGACTCTGTTCTTTTTAGCCCTGATTTTTCCAGCCCAACCTCCACTGCCCCTCCCCACCTTCTTCATCCCCTTCATCTTCCTCCTCTCCATCCTCAGCAGTTTCTTCTTCTTCCTCCTCAGCTCCGTTTTCTTCCTCCTGAGGGCATCAAGATAGGGAGTATTGTTGGGCTAGCTGCGCGACTCTACACACCATGGTAAGGGGGACTGGGTGACAACAGGCCTCAGGGTGGGACAGTGGGACATGGGCCAACACCCCAAGAAGGTAGCTGGAGGAAAAACGTAAGAATAGGGAGGGAAGATGGTCAAGCACGTGTGGTCACCTCCCACCTGACCCCTGCACACCTCTACCACTTCTTTCTTTCGCTCTTTCCGGCTTGCCTTCTCCTCCACCTTCTCCTTCTTCTCTTTCAGATCCTGCAAGGGAAAAAGAAGTCACCTTTATTTCACCACAAATGATATGCAGCCCTTCAGTCCCTCCAGACCTGGTTCTCCCTCTCTGCATTAAGTTTAGAGGTGTGTGAGTGAAGAAGGTGGCCACAGCTTAGAACAGAGGTACCAGGGTCCTTATATTAGGGCCACAGAGGGATTGACACCTGACACCTCTTCCCTAAGACCCAAGGGGAGTGAGAAAAGTCACACTCAAAGGGGAACAGGCAGCCAAGGTAACTGATCCCTCATCCTTGACAAGTTCTTCCAAACCTCCCAGGCTGAAGAGTTCAGCTCAGCAAAGCAAATCCCCTCCATCTGCTGGCAGCCTCAATGCCCCACCCCCTTCATGTCCTTCCTCCTCCTTTGCCTGCCCCCTCCCACTGCCGGCTTTCCTCTGCCTTTTGTCTACCTCTGGGGCCTTTTCCTGAGTACTTTCTCTCTTGGGCATCTCTCCCAGCTTCCCCTTCAGCTCCTCAGGCCTTTGTTTCTCCCAATCTGTGTCTCCCTAATCCTCAAGATCCTACATGGTGGGCTGATCCTACATGGTCCTACATGATAGCTTAATGGTGGAGTGCTTGCCAGGCATGCATGAGGCACTAGGTTCAATCCTCAGCACCACATAAAATAAATAAATAAATAAAATATTATATGTACCCACAACTTAAAAAAAAAAAATCCTACTTGGTCAAACTCTACAGAAATAGAGAGAGCACCCCAGCATAATTCCAGAAACTTACTCCCATTTTAACCATGCCTATCCCAAAACTGCTTCAGGAGTTTCCTGCTCCCTACCTCCATAGTCTATACATTGGTGTGATAGAAGAGTAGAAGTGGCCATTTCCAATGGAAATGTAGGTAAAAGTAGGATAAAAGAAACATGGAAAGGAAAGACATGGTAGATGAAGAGAGCAAAAAACAGGAGAATGGGAAGATGGATGGGGCAGGTACCATCCAGTGAATCTTCCCACCACACTGCCCCTCTCCTTCACCCCAAGATGTGGTCAGGCACACACTTGTCCTATTCTGATCTGGCCCATGGGCATCTCCTATCTCATCTCCGGTAGATGCCCATGTGGGCATCCCCTCTGGACACCACACCTGCCTTCCGATTCAGTCCTCTCCCTATCCCATCACTTGGCAGGTTCTGAGGACACTGCAGATATCCTCCTGAGATCTGATCTGGTGTTGGTGTACAACTCTTGTGTACTTGATTCCATGTGGATGGAAGTTTTGTGTGTGAACAGATCACCCTGGGAGGGTGTGTCCTTCCTGGAACAGAACTGGGGATTAGAGAGGGGCTTGGTGCCAATAGGCTGGCCTAGGGCACACTCAATTCCCTTCTCACCTTCAAGGTAAGCATAGCACCCCTGATCCTCTAACTCTAAGTTTCTATTTCATCCTACTCTGCTGTCTTCATTCTTTGCCACAAGGCAGGTTTGGCAATTCTAACACCTAGAGGGCTTTTCCCTATATCCAGGATCCAGAGACCCAGGGGCTAATTCAGCTTCTCCCTAGGGGGCTTGTACCAGGCTGGTAAGATCCTGGCCTGAGTTTTCTAACTGGGCAGTTGAAGGGAGGGAGGGAGAGGGAGGGAGGGAGAATACCAGAGTCCAAAGTCCAAGGGGCCGGACCCTCTCCTCCCCTGTACTGTCCTTCTGGTCACTGTCCTTCCATGATCCCTTTTCCAGGAGAGTATGTGACCTGGGCTCTAGGTCTTGGGCTAAGCAGCTCTCTGGCCTCAACACAGGCACTCACTGACACAGGCTAATACTGATTCACACAGCCACAGAGGAGCGCCCACGCGATCTGGAGACACATGGCTCGGTGTTTGGGCATTCTGGCACACTCTTGAGACAGCACAAGAGCACAGTGGAGCTACTCGGTGCTCACAAAGCAACAACATGGCTCCAGAACGTCTACATCTCCACACGCACACATGTAACCGACACGGGCAGTCCCACACACTCGCTAGATTTTAGACATACAAAGACACCTACTCGTTGAAGTCACATGCCACCGCACAGCCCACCGGAGGGCCACACAGGCACACCTGTCAAAGCTCATACATGTGCCCTCTCCCACTGTCTTCCCCCCTTGTACTTCCCTGGCCTCCAAGAGAACTGTGTGACTCCTCAGCAACGCCCCCCCCCAACAAAATCCAGCTCCCAGCCCCCAAATCCTGGCCGCATTAATTTCCCAAAGCGACACTCTGCAGGTTCCGTAGGGAAATTAGAGGAAGCCAGGAAGAGAGGCAAGGGCAAAGGGATGAGGCCGGGAAGGGAGCTGATGAGGGCAAGGACAGCTCCGTGCAAGGCCATTAAGTGCCAAGTCTCAGCTTTTCCAAAGGCTATATTCCCAACCCCCTTCTGATTTTTAGGTTTTCAAGATTTTTTGGCGGGGTCGGGGGAGGCGAAAACGAAGAGAAAACTGAAAGCCGGTGCTGGGAAAGGAATGCATGGCGATGGACAGAAAGGAGGCAATGAGAGAAAAGAGGCTGATGCCGTCCGGGGAGAGAAGCAAGGGACAGGCCGCTAGGGGAGGGGCCCGAGAGGAGTAGCCTCCCGGGAGAGTCCTGTTTACACTTGAGGATCTCAAACCGCTTAGCAGCGGAAAGGTGAGGTCGGACTCAGAGGAGAGAGAGAGAAACGGGATGCAGGGAAGGGACAATGTAAAGCGAGGCACGGAGAGCTCCGACGGGAAAGCAGTCAAGGTAGAGGCGGGCGCGGTTGGGCCAGAGGGGGTGGGGACGCGGTGGTGGCCGGGCGCGGAACCGAGCAGCGAGGCCAGGACCGAGACGCCGTGCGCGCAGGGAAGCTAGAGGGCGCTGGCGCTAGCAGCGCGTAGCGGGGTAACCAGCGCCAG